TTATGGGACTGGAAACAGCTGCAGATGGGTCTTGCAGATGTTGGATGCAAATACTGGGAACTGGAGTGATTCAGCACAGCTGCAGGAAATGGGTTATCTCAGTATTCCCTGGACAGCAGGACTTCACTTGATCCATCTTTAGTACAGTGACTCATGTTATTAATTTCCATTGCTCTTTTGTTACCAATTAGTTCATTGCCTCTCCAACACTTTATATCTCTTCTCTACCTAATGGCTTCAGTGTATTCATAACTTCTCATAACTTGCCCCTCTTATGACTTCTTGGTGCTTCTTTTTTTCCCTTTCTTTTTTTAAAAAATTTACTTAGGGTGTGTTCACCCCCAGGAGAGTGACAGAGACAGAGAGAGAAAGGAAATGCAAGAAGCACTCCTGGGAGGCTGGCCATACTGCAATCCTTTCTCTTCCATTCTCATCTCAGGATTTTGAGCACTCAATGTACATGCAACTGGTGAGTTTTTCAAGCAGTTGGGTCCAGGATTCGAACTGAGCTGTAGGTCATGTGGGATCCAGCCGCCTTAACTGCCACACCACTGGCTAGCCTCAATAGGTATTTTTTGGCAGGATCTCACTGATCCTTCTTTCTCAGTCTCCTAATAACTAGGATCACATGCCATGTTCAGGTTGCTCTGAGAAATGAAACTGGGTTTCTCAATGTGACTTCCAATTTCTCAAGTGGTGATACTATCTGTACACTACTGTGACTGGGCCTTATTTTTGTTTGTTTAGCTTTTTTTAAAAAATTATTTAATATGTTTTGTATGCTGGTAAATAACATTTTGTTTTCTAGTTAACTTTAATAGAAATAGAGTTGAGCTATGTTTTTTCTTTTTTTTTTTTTTTTTAGAGGGATTTTTGCTATAGGGTGCATACACTCTCCAGAAAGACAGAGTGAGACAAAGAGACAGAAAGCTAGAAATCACCCCCCAGGGGGGATGGGCACACTGCAGTCCTTTCTCCTCCATTCTCCTCTCGTGATTTTGGGCATGCTTGCACCCGGTGTGAGTTTAAGCCACTGGGTCTGGGACTCGAACTGCAGTCGACTACATGGGAGTCCAGCGACATAGCCAATAGGCCAATTGCTGGTCCCAGAAATGCATTTTTTTAAAGTTTATTTTCAGAGTCCAGCAGATGCTGTAATGTCACTGGACTCTCATGTAGTTGACCACGGTTTGAGTCCTGGACCTGGCAGCTTAAAATTCATACCAGGAGTGTGTGCATGCTCACCCAAAATTCCGAGAGGAGAATGGAGGAGAAGGGATTGTGATGTGGCCATCCATGCCCCTGAGGGGTGATTTCTTGCTTTCTGTCTCTCTGTCTCTGTCTCTCTGGTAAGCACATGTGCCCGATAGCAAACATTTCTCTCTAAAAGAAAAACAAAAGAAGAAAAAGTTTATTTTCAGAGAGAGAGAAAGAAACACAGGCACCCTTAACAGAATCTTCACACTTCAATCCTCTCCTCAGCAGCCAGGATCACAGACTGACCTATGGATCCAATCCATCTTGTATTTTAAGGTAGACCTGGGACATGAATATGAGCCTTTCCCACATGGTTTCCAGCATCACACAGTAGCAACCCTGCTGCCCGAACCACTGCAGCTAGGCTTTTTAATAGTTTTAATACTGGGTTGTTGGAAAAGTCATGATGCATTTTTGAATAGAAAAACATAGAAAAAATGCGTCAAGACTTTTCCGACAACCTAATAGATTATGCCTACAGATAACAGAGATTAGCAAAGATGGGTAGAAAAGATCTGGAATATGCTGACTTTCATGAAGTAGGTTTAAAACATTTCCCCTTTTAAGCAGAATGTTCTCTTAGCATTTTCCTGGTGCTTTGCTACTAAAACATAAATGGTTATGTGTAACAGTTAAATGCAGACTGTTATTGTTAGAAATTATCTTTATATGCACGAATTGTGATGGAAAGAAGAATGGATTGCAAACATAAATTTATACTCTGGTTTTCTCTGTCTTAAAGGGAAGACTTAAATCGCCTTCTATATTATCTTACCACTGCAGAACAGGAAGTGAAGTCAGGCAGTAAACTGCTTCCTGTCTTCTCACAAGAAGGAAACAAAATATATATAAATATACATCATACATAGGCAGCGTTTAGTCTTTCTCTACTCAACCCATCCTGTACACGGTACCGATTTATCATTAGTAAAATGTTCTGCTATCATTCCTCTCTTAACTGTGGGTATATATTAGACTACTTGGGAAGCTTTTTATAAAGTTCCTATATTTAGGCGCTCCCCCCTAATTTTCTAATTTATTTGTTGTGGGATGTGGTTTGGGCATTAATATTTTTAAAAAGCATCCTAAGTGCAGTAAGAAGACAGGAAACCACAAGGCAAACAGAATCTGAACATTTGAGCTTGCAGTTAAGGTGCACTTTTATCTATTTGCACCCACGCTTGTCAGGGTCTGGCCGGCCCTAAGTGTGTTCCATGCCCTTTGAATATTACTTGTGCTTTCTCTCTTCTGGTATTTTGCCAAACATTCTAGGAGTTTCCTCCTCACATGTTTTTCACTAATTCAAATTCCTCCCCATAGTTTAAAACCCAGCCCAGTTTTTACCACCTCCATCAAGCCTTCTCTGACTACTCTTGACCAAGCACAAGCAATTATTGCCCAGTTAATCATTGGAACAAAGAATCAATTATGTACTACCTGGGCCATCTCTTCTACTGTTGCTTTAAATGCTGACTCTCATCTTTGCTTGACTTTTCACCTGTTTATTAGCCAGCTACCTATGCTATAAGTTTCTAGCATTCATATGAATCTTTGAAAAGCCATGAGCCTTACACAGTGCAGGAAGTCAAATAATGTTTGTCCTTTCCTTCTATCCACACCTCCATAGGTGTAGTTCAGGCTTTCATTGCTCCTGGAATCCTGGCTAACTGGCCTTCCTGCCATCTGACACCTTGGCTCTTTAACTAGGCCAACACATCAGTGGCCCACGTGGCCAATGTCCTGCAAACTTGATTGCGTGTGTGTTTCTTTGCTTGCTTCTTATTGTGTGTGTGTGTGTACTCCTTTGCTTCTCTCCTTATTTTATAATCTAGCTGATCCTAGTTCTTCCTCTGGCCCTCTACTCTCCTACTCCTCAGGATGTGATGGTAGAATTCAATGTCTTTGTTTTTTTTTCTGCTTGCTTTCTCTTAGATGTCAGAATTTATTTAATATACCCTATGAATCTTCCTGTCCCCATTCCTTTGGTTAAATACTTCTCTTGACCAGACTCTGACCCAGGAGTTCTGAACTGCCAGGTCAATCTTCCACCAGTGCCCTGGTCTGATGTGTCAATTCCCCTCAAAGAGAACACTCCACATTGTTTTTCAGAAATCTTACCCTTTAAAAAAATCTTATCATGTTGTTCATGTAATTAGAAGTTTCTGTTGACTCCTCATTGCCTATAGAATAAAATCTAAGCCTGAGCTGTCCAATGTAAGAGTTAGTTAAGAAATAATTATTTATTTAATTTAACTTAATAGTATCATTTATTTTAATTTGCTATAGGGCACATGTGCTTACCAGAGAGAGATGAGGGGGAGGTGGGTGGGGTGGGAGGAGTAAGAGAGCAAGCCATCGGGTTCAGGACTACTAACCATAGTCAGCCATGTGGGAGTCAAGCAACTTAATCGCCACACCATCTGCTGGCCCCAATATAAGAGTTATTAAAAATAAAACAAAAACTTGAGATCCTCAGTCATTGCCATATTTCACGTGTTGATAGCCACATGTGGCTAGTGGCTATCATTTTGAACACAAATGAGCATTTCTGTTATTGCAGAAGGCTGTCAGATAGCATTGGCCTGAATATCTTACAACAGCTCATGAGGACTTTTGCAATCTCATCTCAACCTTTGCTATAACCTAATTTTTGATTGCTCCTTATCTTTCATCCCCAACTACTTTTTCAATGTTCTGCTATCTCTCTGTGTCCTTTCAGATTTCCTTGCCTTTGAACATGGTGTTCCCTCTTCAACTTTCTTCTCTGGCAAACTTCTATTTACCTGTTAAGATCCAACTCAAATATCACTTTCTTCATGAAGGTCCTTGACTTTCCTATACATAATCATTTCTTGTGTTTCCTTTGTTGATTGATTCTAGCACTGTTGCTTTAACAATATATTTTGTTAATATTTGCTTATAAAGCTGTGCCCTTGGAGTGGGGAGTTCTGCCTGATTGTTTTAGAAATCTGTTTTAACGATTACTTGAGATTGTTTCTTAGATACCTTTTTCATATCATGTGATGTTTTTTCTTGTTTATATGCCTGGTATTTGTGTGTTCAGCATGTTTCAAAAGATCACTTAGTGATTTGGGGAGAAGTCCTTACTATTTCTAGTACAAAGTTAGAATAACTTCCTGTTCCCTACTTTGGAGGTTAAGTTTTCTTTTAAATAACCCGGACTGGATTTCAGAGGGATGTGGTAGGAGGGGTTTACAAGATCAAAAATGGCAGACCTATATGCAGCAGCTGACTCTGGGTTCCAGTCCTTTTACAAAATATTTAGCCTATGTGTGAAACAAAAATAGAGAAAGAAGATGTAAAAAATAAAGATAGCTCATGGAAAGAAAATTGGGGAATTGTATTTGACTGTTACCAGACTAAGGATAAAAGCAATGATATGGTAAGTGGGAAAGGTTTCTATTACCATTTTTTTTTTTCTTCTTGGGAGTTGATAAGATTTCCATACATATTTATGTGAATTGAATTAATTACTGGGAAGTAAATGCTCCTGGCCAGTGAATTAATATATCAATTGTGATTACAGTTCACATCACCAGGTAAGGATAATTTTCTTTCGAGAAAGCCGTAAGCCCTACAGGTTTAGAGTCCAAGAGACCTTCGCTGGTTGCCATCGCCTAGAGGCCACTTCAATCCGCTCAGTCAATCATCTACCCTAGGGCGCCTCGACCACGCCCATCGCTCAGAACACTCCCATCCAAGTCACCCTCCCATGACTCCGCCCCAAGCCCAGCAGCAGAAGATTTTCATTGGTGGAGAAGTTATGCAGGTCCCGCCTTGGAGGACAGTGATAGGCTAAACTGGCGTGGGGCGGTGGTGGTTGGCTGCCTGGGGACGGGTGCCTGGTCGTGCCTGTCATAGTGGCTGGCGGCAGTGGCGGCTCTCGGGGCTGGGTTGTCAGTCAGTGAGAGGAGGGGGAAGATGGCTCGCTGGGACCCGTTCTGCTAGGAAGAAGGGGGGCAGGTGGTGCTGCTACTCGGGAGGAAGCAAGCAGACGCCGTCGCTGTCGCTGTGAGCCGCACCAGCCTAGGCTCTGTAGTGGAGCACCGGAGCCGCTCTGGTGAGTCCGACCGAGAGACCCACGCGGGGCCCCCAGGGCGGCCGGCAACAGATAACTTTTTTGTCAGGGAGGAGCCGGGGCGACGCGGCGGCGGGGAGGGGTCCGGGACTTTGTCCCCGGGGCGTTGGCTTCGTTGAGGGTAACGGCTCCAGCGCGAGGTGGCTAGGGTGGGCGCGAGGCGGTGCTGGGCGCTGGGGGCGCCCAGGCGGGGTGGGTGGGCTGCGGCCGACAGCTGCGCTCCCCGAAGTTGGGCGCAGCCCGCCAGCTGCCTGGAAGACCGTAGCTTTGTGCGCGCGGATTCGGGTGTCTTTCTTTCCCGACGAGGAGTGGTCCAGCCCCCGGGCGTGACCTGAGTGCTGCGGTCTCAGCCAGACCCTCTGCAGGGTCGGCCTAGGGTGGGAGCTACACCCTCGCAGGCCCCACCCCGCCGCAGCTGATGCTTCGGCCTGTCCCATCCCTTCTACCCTCTCCCTTCCCTCCAACGAGGCCACCGCTGTCTGCAGTCTGGTGACCAAATGGTCTCTGGACCACCCCGCCCTCTGCCGCCCCTCCGCAAAGCAGCGTTCGCCTTGGTCTTTGGTCCCGCGCTGGGTGGAGAGGTTCAGAAAGCAGCCACGCTTCCTTCCTTGGTTATTACACTGAAGATCTCCTTTTCAGCCCTTGTCCCCTTATTTCCACGAGTTTTTCCTCTGCCGCGGCTGATTTTTAACATACTTGAGAATGGTTGGGGTTTTAGCTGATGATTTTTGCATTGAAAGACTCCAAGTTTGCACGCTTCAGCAACGGTAGATATCTACCTTAAAGCGTGCATGTGTGCTCTTTGTACCCTCAGAGTTCAGACATTCCTGAAAGATTTTCATTTTACCCAAGATGTTTTGTGCTGCACAGAGTCAGTTTTCTGATAAATACACTATCACACGCCTGGCAGCCGCTCTGCTCTTCAGGTAGGGGGAGTTTCTTCCACTGGCAGCTACTACTTATCTCAGACACGTAGGGCCAAGCTGTCCTTTTGCAAAGTATTCATTCTTTGGGTCATACAGTAGTTTTTGGAACAGGTAGGCCATCTCTTTGTTTCATGTAACACTTTACAGATTGAGGGGTTCAGGTTTTTTATTAGGTTTTTGCCTTAGGGAGCCTTGGCTCCCGGCAGAGACAGAGAAGAAAAGTAAGAAATCCTCCTCACCCTCCTCCCGCTGGAGTAGTAGTGGTGGTGGTGGTGGTGGTGGTGGTGGCGGCGGCGTGGCGGTGGCGGTGGCCATGCCCAACAGGTGTTCCGTTTTTTAAATCTTATCCATGCAAAGTAATGAGGATTGATGTAACCTTGAGTCAATGTGATAGTCCTGGGAGACTTGTTTTCCAGAAGAACATTCTTACTGCTAACATCCATAGACCACACACATCCTGCCCCCTCTCCCCCCCCCCCCCCCCCCCTTTTCTTTAGGTTAATACATTTTAAGGTTTATACGATGAATATTAGTTCAAAGCACCATGTTTTTGAAGGGCAGGGAAAAACAAGAAAGAAAAAAATCCTAGAGATTTGCTTAGCTAGTAGCTTCAAAGTCAGCTTTTGAAATAATTCATTTAAACAAAGTGGTGAGGGAGAAAACCATCACATGTTTAGAAATCACATTCGGAATTTGGCTTATTTTATTCTTTTTTGATTTGCCGAGATTCTTATTATTGAGGAATTAGAAACCATCTTACTTATCAGCATTAGCAATGCCTGGATATGTACAGCTACTGAGGCATGGATAGGTTAACACTGCTGTGTTTCTCTTTGTTGTATTTTTACTTTATGAAATCTGCTGTTGGTTGCCTTTTTAAGAGTAGTGTAGGGACCAGCAGTTAGCGTAATGGCTATGTCACTGGACTCCCATGTAGTCAATCTCGGTTCACATCTTGGACCCGGTTGGTTAAACTCATACTGGGCACCTGTGCATGTGTGCCCAAGATCCCGAGAAGAGAATGGAGAAGGGATTGCAGCGTGGTCATCCCCCCTGGGGGGTGATTTCTCGCTTTCTGTCTCTCTGTCTTTCTCTGTCTGTCTGGCACGTGCCCTATAGCAAAAACCTCTTAAAAAAAAAAAGAGTGGTGTAGTTCTGACAATTAGAGTTTAAATATATCTTGTAGTTAATTGTTCTATTCCATATCCTGTTGCCTCATACCTATTTTAGAATTAATCTTAAGGAATCTTTAAAAAATATTAGCATTCAGCACCTTTTTGGGGGGTACCAATTTACATATTTTAAATAATTTAAATTACGTTGAACATAAAGTTATTCTACACTGCCCCAGGCTGAATGGGTACTAAGGTCACAAAAAAGAATGTCATTGCTCTTGTCCTCAAGGAATTTACTGTGTAATATACAAAATATTAGTTACATGTAGGGATTAATAGAGAAATGATGGGAGATGACAGTTGTGAGGTTGGTCAAACTATTAATTCCATCTGCTTTGAAGGTAGGGCATTGGATCATTAGTTAATGAGATTGGATTGAAGGTGATAGATGAGAAGCCATTTATTGGATTGTGTTTTAGACTCCTACTCTGGCAAAGTGAGGTAGAATCTGATAAGTCCTGGACGCCTTTGGGAAGTTCTGGACACCTTTGGGAAGAAAAAAGGAGAAATCAAGACTCTAAGGATTTGACTTGATCCCATTGATTGAAAGTGAGGAACATATAAATGGAAAGAAGATGATAAATTCTATTGATTTATGGGGAAAGTCATGACACAGTTTTGCATAGAAAAATAGAAAAATACATCATGAGTTTCCCGACAAGCTTTGGGATTTTGAATTTGGGAAAGCAGTGAAATATTCAGATGAACATGTAGATAGATATTTGGATCTATAGATATAGAACTTATAAAATAAATTAGAAATAGAAGATTGGGGGTTGAACGTAAGCTTTTTGGATTTGGTTATGTTGAGGTATCTTGAGGGAAAGCATTTAATATGATAAAAGCCACAGACAGAGAATAGACTGATAAATGGCAGAAATAAGTAGCATGGTATCAAAGAGAAAAGTAGTAGTTAGAAAGGAAGAACATCAAGAAAAATGCAAAAGGTGGAGATTTTCAAATATAAGAGAAACAGGACAGTAATTTTTTCCTTTTTTTTTTTTTTTGGAGAGGTTTTTGCTATAGTGCGCATGCACTCGCCAGAAAGAGAGAGACAGAGACAGAAACTGAGAAATCACCCCTCCAGGGGGGATGGCCACGTCATAATCCCTTATTCTCCATTCTCCTCTCTGAATTTGGGCATGCATGCACATGCACCTGGCATGAGTTCAAGCCACTGGGTCCGTGACTCAAACCGTGGTCGGCTACATGGGAGTCCAGTGACATAGCCATTACACCAACTGCTGGTCCCAAGTCAGTAATTTTTAATGCAGTAAATAACAATTAATTTGTCAATTGATAGGTGACTTTAAAAAAACACAGTTTTAGCTGAGTGGTGGTTCTGAAACCAGTATTCAGAAGACTGAGAGAGAATGGGTGGTGAAAGTGGAGACATGCTTGTGTGAGGCTTTTCAAGAAAACTGAAGTTAAGGAAGGAAGAGAATGATAGCTGTTAGCTCTCACTGAGAACAATGGCTCTCATTCTTGGCTTCACATTGACAATTACCTGGCGGAGCTTTTAAGAATTCTGATTTCCAGGGGAAACCTCTATGCAAATTGGGGAGGATAGAATGGAACCCAGATTTATTTATTTATTAATTAAATAAATTATTCAGTATTTATTTCAACAGCTTTATTGAAGTGTAACTGGCATATAATAAACTAAACCTATTTAAAGTGTACAGTTTAATGTTTGACCTATGTTTACATCATAAAACCATCATCACAATAAAAATAATGAACATATTCATTACCTTCAAAAGTTTCCTCTGTCTCTTTGTAATTTTTTCCTTTCATCTCCAAGAACCACTGATCTGTTTTCTGTCACTGTAGATTACTTGCTTTGGTAAATATATATATATATTTAAGTTCCCCAGCTAATTCTGATGTGCAGACATGGTTGAAAGGCACTGTGGAGAGATACACATTGGAAAAATGTTATACCTGTTTATGTGTGTAAGAAAAATGAGAGTAGACAGTGGAGGTAGGAGGTTCAGGAAAGATGAGATAGTTTTTGGAACTAAATTCTGGAGGAGATAGAAGTGGATGGAATTCAGAGCTTTGACCAGAAAGAAGGGAAGACAATTCTGGAAGCAAAATTTCTAATAAACATGATGACGTGCAAGATAGTTTTGTATTTGTCTCTGTTGTCATCATCAGCGTTGTCATTATGTAGAGAAATCTTGGCTCTCTGAAGTACCTCTGAGGTACTTAAAAATAACTAAAGAACATCTTAACATTGTGAAATGAATTCTCAGAAAAAATCCCTTGAGTGGAGCCTGAGACCTTTGGCACTACCACATAATGCTTTGTCATTTTTTGGAAGGGAGCAGATGGAATTAACAGTTTGACTATTGCTTATTGTTGAGAGCCAAGTACTGCCAGAGTCTTTCAGAACCGCACAGATTTAGGCTGCATATTTGCACCAAGAAAAGAGAACATTTAACACTTGAAAATCTCCTGTTTAAAGCATCTTTTAAAATTTTTATTTATTTTAGTTTTCTTGTTTTTTTTTTCTCCAAAATATTTATTTATTTATTAATTTTACAAGAAATCTTTCTTTCTTTCATTTATTTATTTTTATCTATGTCATCCATTTCCATTTCATGGACGTTTTCAGGCTATTAGGAATTAGGTTTGCTAACTACAATAGCTTCCGAACCATATATACAAAGTATGCTATTTATTTATTTGGTTATGTGGTTTACAAACCAATGATATATATATATATATATATATATATTTTTTTTTCTTTTTCCATCCTTGATTCCCTATCCCTCACCCTCTGCTGTGTCCCACCCTTCTCCCACATTGTCTCTGGTATCCATGGTTGCTTTCTATGCCTTCCCTCCCCATTTAATTGATTTGCTAATGAACTTAA